CCAGCCGCAAGCCGAGTGCGGTCCCCGCGGGCTCCCGCTGTGGGCGTGCAGCTTGGTGAGCAGCCCGAGGCCCAGCTGGACACCATCCCGGTAGCCGTAAAACCCAGAAGTGATACAAGTTGCGCGGCCGAGGTCCAGGTAGGTGATGGGTGTGTGACGGTTTAGTTCTTACAATGAAACGCCAAACATTAGATGGAAAGTTTCAGTTACATGTGTCTTATGGTCCTTTTAGGCTTCTCAAACAAGGCACAGTGAGCTTGAGCGGGAAATTCTTGTAGGCAGAGGATGCTACCAATGACGCCTATTGGCCACGACTCATTTGCAAGGCACCCTGTGTACCCGAGATGTTGTTGGGGGTGTTGGAGGAGCAAAAAGCAAAACCGAGGTTGCAATCAGCAAACACTTCTGGGTGAGAATTTCTGTCAGTTGACTAAAGAAATTCGAGAAAAAAAAGGATCTCAATCGCCAAGGTTTCGGTAACTTATTGTGATTTTTTAATATTCATCTTGTACTTATTTTTGTATCAAGCCCCCACCCCCAAAATTATGTAAATATCAAGTCCCACAAAACTTGCATCTGCCCCTGCCTGTGGGCCATTGTTTTTATGAGACTTTCTGCTGGTAGTTTTACAGTATTCATATGCACCTTGTTTATAATATCCAAATGACTCCATGTGTCCACAGTTATCTTCCTCAACAATTATTGTAGCTCTGAATCCAGTTGTGTTATCCTGTATCCGTTAAATTGGATAAACTTCAGTGTCAGCAAAAAGCAACCATCATTTCAGAACTCCTTTCTCATTGTCCAAATGCACCTGTTTGATTTGCAGTTTCCATAATTGCGTCTCTCTATAACAGGTATGGGGCGAAAAAGAGAAAGAAAGTGATCAGAGATTTCTGAGATCCAGCCAAGGGAGAGAAAGAATATAAGTATAAAAAGTAAATTATATGGGTAACTCTTCACAAACACAAAGGAATACACTCTCAATTTAGTCCTTGGCTGCCCTTTCTCCTCTGAGCTCTCAACAAGGAAAATTCTGTTCACTTTGAGCTGACCTCTCCCGACAGGCTTTTGTACCGTGCACTTGGTCCACCTGCTGCTCACCACAAACGTGGAACAAGCTTATCTGTGGAAGGAGAGTTTAATCTTACTTTTGCCAAGGTAATGACCCAGCTTGGTGATGGAAATCCTCCCACGGTCGATCCCCTCTTTGGCACCCCTTGCTCACAAGTGTCACTTTATTCGTCACAGAATTACAGACTTCTTGTGGTGCTTCTCTAAGTTAAGCCTACTGTTACTCCAAGCAAAACAAAAATGGACTTTACCCACACCTGTCTATTTAGTGATTACCTTCAGTGCACTGTCATTTAGAGTCAGTTCAACTACGCTGCATCTCTGAATGCATCCTTCCATTAGAAGCCATGCCTTCCTTCATACAAATAACAGAAAATCAGATTGCACCTGTTTAACTGGCTATCTGGACTACTGACTGCAGACAAAATGGATGTTTCATTTCCGTCACAGAATGTCTGTAACTCAAAGTAGCATTTGCAGTGGCGTATTTGATTTGCATCCTTCTCCAACTTTTTGGAAACACTGCTCTAAGAATAGGGCAGTTTTTTCTTGTTTTAAAGAAATGGGAAGATGTATATGATGTGTATTTTATGTCTTTATAATCTTTACAGTGTTCAGGAAAGAGCATTATTTCCTTCATTTTGTAGAAGGTAAATGTTATACTCTCATATAGTATATAAGTAGCTAAGCTGGATTTCCACAAATCCTTTCTGACACCAAAGTCTTTTCATTATATTAGACTAGAAATGTTATGATAGCCACATTGTCTCTCTTCCTTTCTCCTTCCCTACTAATAAAAATGTCATGAATAAGGCAATCTATGCCATTTAAATCTGGCAATTTCTTCACATTGACAATTACAACTACCACGTATGGAATTTTTTTGACATACTGAGCACCATACAAGGGACTTCAGAAAGGTTACCTCATTTAATTTATGCATTCCCCCATGAGACTCAGAAATTAAGTAATTCACTCCAGATCACCTATCAAGCTAGTCTCAAATCTCATTAGTTTCAAATTCCATACTTTTTAAAAGAAGATTGTATTCTTCATATCAGCTCAAATCTCATGCAGCACAGTTGTAACCAGCAACAACTCAGAAAATGAAAGCCATAATTATATCAAATGTAATTTTTAATTTTAATTTCAACAATTATTATTATAAACACAAGCTATACTATGAGGCTGGCACAGTGTAGAGAAAATAATTCCAACCTTGCAAAGCAGGAATATGCACACTATACTCAAGACAGTCTTTGTTTTATAATCTTAATTCTACCGTAACCAGTTGTATACATTTCAACAATTTACCCAAACTCTGTAAGCCTACTCTTTATCAATTGTAGAATAGAAGCAATAATAGTAATCTCAGGCAATTGCTAAGATGATTACATGAGATAATACAGATAACACACTTGGTGTAATATTGGACAAAATATGTGTTCAATACATATTCATGCTGATTCTGATTTTTATTTCTTTACAGTGGGGGACCGAATATTTACACCGAAAGGTAGGAGGTTGATCATTCTTCACTGTTTACCTGAGGCTGGGGAGTTTCCTGAGATGCAAAATTTCCAGCGCTAACGCTTGGGATGTCCTGGGTGAACTGGGATGAGTGGTCGCTCAAGTTCAGGGTTCTCAGCTAAGGCATCATTGACTTGTGTGGCTGGTGAATCTTTGTTCTAGGGGGCTGCCCTGTGCGTTGTAGGTTGTTTAGCAGCTTCCTTGGCCTCTACTCATTCCATGCTGGTAGTAGCCCACCCCTTTCGTGACAACCCAAAATATTTCCAGACATTGTCAAATGTCCCCTGGGAGCCAGTTGGCCCCAGTTGAGAACCAGTGACCTACAGGTAGAGAGTTGGAAAATGGTAAATGCACAGAAATGGGATGTTTACAGTTGATGTTTCGTTTTTAATTACAAATGGCCAATTGTTTAGTAGAAACACTTTATATATTGTTGCAGATGCGGAAAATTATTCGTCATTGTAATTAAAATGGTACAAGCTGTGGTCATTGTATTGAAAATGTTTTAAGCATTGTTGTTTGCAGTATGCAGTATGCATTTACAGGAACACGGAGAAGACTCAGACTCCTCTGCTCAAGCACTTGTTAAGTTATGATCCAATTGTCTACCGTCAGTATTTGTCATATTTTTATGCTTTTTTGAATGCTTGATAATTTTTTATTGGATGTCACACATTGTGAAAAATTACCTTTTGGGGCAATAAATATATTTGTATTCTTATAAATCTTCTTGAGCTTTCTGCTTGGATGCAGTTAGGTTTCTTGGAAATAGATCCTTTCTGATCCTGCTTGTAAAGTGTATTCAGCAAGAGTGAAGCAGCGCTCAATACAGGAATAATTATTTTCCACTACAGAGGGAAGTTCTGTCTGTTCTCATGACCCAACGCTCATGAATGGAGAGGTCTTCCAGTCTGGTTAGTGGGAACAGACACTATTTCTAAACCCGTAAGAGCCAAGGGCACTGTTACTTCTAATCCTTTCAGGTGATTCTTTCCCTTTTCTTGTGGAATTTCTTTGCATGTATATGCACTATTTTTAAAGCCTGGAATACTTCATATTGTCCAAGTATGGTGAGAAAATCAACTTAAAAGATGAATATTGCTGCCATGCATCAAAATAGTTAACCTTATTTTCCTGGAAATTATTTTTAAAAAAGAAGAAGAAGAACCCCAGCATCATATGACAGTTAACATAAACAAGTGAAGTAGAAGTCAGGAGAATGAAATAAATAAAATATTCAGAAAGGACCAAGAAGACACAGTAGGGACCCAAGTAACATCAGAAGGAAAAAAAAAAACTGAAGGTAAATGCTCCCTCTGTTTTGTGAAAGCTGTAGTCCTTGTGTGGAACATCAGAGACTGAGTATGTGAGCAGGTCTGTTAGCAGACGTTCTCCTGGACCACGTTTTGTCCATAGAAGCAGAGGACGTAGGCTATGCAAATAATGCCAGAGAGAAGCCAGAGCTATAGGAAGCTTTCTCTCCTGTGACAGAAATTCCAGTTAATTCAAGGATAACTTTTTTTTAAAGATTGCACACAATAAATGCAAATGTACTATAAGAAACAAACTGGGGAAGAGTACCAAAAATTACCTACAGCTGAAAAAAAAAACACACCAGAAAAATCTTACTATGGAGCAGATAAAAGTTGTGACCATTTTGCCATGAATTATAAAAAAATGAAGAGATTACTTTTGAAATCAGACCTCAAATCAGAAATATAGGAACACTACCCA